CGAGCGAGTTAATAGGATTTAATCTCTCACTCTCTTGAACGACCGGACTCAAGTCTTATAAACTTGTCGCCATTCAATTCGTATTAAAATTTTATTTTGTACCTCACTAATTGTGTATAATTGGTGTAATTGTAATAAAACGTATATTATTATTTATATTATTTAAGATCAGCAAAATTGATGTTTGCAGTTTTGTAGTTTTAGTTCTGTAATTTGTACTTCTACGCAAAATATAATTTTCCTGTAGTCGTTTTATTATATATAGAATAAAAGCTACATATCAGACGATAAATAACATCGTTACAGCGGGTTAACCGCCTTCAATAACGCTATAGAAACGATTGAAAGAATTAATCTAAACGTTTGTGCCTCTGATGATAAGCGAAATACCGGACGGATGCAACACATGTCTTTTATTAGCTGCTCTCTTTGTCAAATAAAGGTAATTAAAGGTAATTAAAGTGGGAATTCCATAATTAATGTTGCAGCTGTGATGCCATCTCTAGTGTATATAATATCAACATCTTTTTATACCGTTGATAGACCGATGTAGGCAATAAATTGTTTCTTGCAATAAATATTTGAGTGAAGACTTAAATATGATACTTATCGTGCCATATCTCCATTTCTTTACCTATCACTTTTAGGAATGGTTTCATTATGAATCATATATTATGTGACAATTCTTTTATCGACAAATCAATTAATAGAAAGAAGATATTGTTGTATCTTCACGGTCAGTGATAATCGAAATTGATCCTCGAAATTGATTCCTCCTCGGAGAAAACATTAATCTTGGCATTTAATCCAATTTGGTAAGTTAGGAATTAGAAGATTTCAAAGATTCAAAGAAAATTAATTATTTTATTGGTCTCGCCCTGAAAGTGGATTTATCTCGCGTGATACTTCAGCACGTTATACGTTAACCATTTCCAATTTGCAAATTTGCGATAATGCCCATTCGAGGTCATGCTAGACGACGGAAGGTTGAAGTGACGAGGGCTTGAACTAGTTCGACATGTGTCGTTCCGACTCGTTGACGTTACAAGAGTCGTACCGCGTGTAACCGACGCGATTAATTCCCGAGAAACTAGAGAACGGAAATTACTAGATACAAAGCGACGTGCGATCTCCACCTCTTGTTTCCCCGGGATGGGACGAGAAGAGCGGAACGATCTACATGTATAGCAGAAGGTCGGCGTAGCTCTCGCCTCTGCGGACGCGGACAGATCACCGGCTAGGCTTCGCGAACAGTCAGTCGGCGATAGAGGTGGTAGTTACGCAATGACCGACTCGCGATTTCCATCACGGACGTTCCAGCCTTTGATTCTGGCCCAGCCCAAGAGAGGTGGTCGTCATGGGCGCCGGCAGCATCTTATTTTCTCTCTCACGTTCCACTCTAATTCCTCATATTTAAAATATCAAGTTGCTGTTATCGTTTCAAAAAGAAAAGGAATAAAGAGAACTGAGTTAAGTATTTATATACAAAAAATATCTTTCTATCGCTAAGAAAAGTGATTATTTAATTTATTTTCTTCCTTTCAAGTAACGGTCTTTAAAAAGACCGTCTTTTTCGTAATTTATTTTTAAAATATACTTATTATAAATTAAATAACTTATTTTAGAAAAAATTATTACTTAAAATTATATACTTAAAACAAGAAATTATTTTCTTTTGAAAGATATTATAAAATTGATCGAATCGACTTTATATAAGAAATAAATTAAATTTATATAAATTTATATAAAGATTTTACAAATTTGATTTTATTCTTGAGACTTCTACGGGTGCTTTCTATATAAAGATTTTGTGTTTCGCGGGTTTCCTTCGTGTCCAGATCCATTCTTGGAATATCAACGTTTTGTAAACCTTGCAGTCCACTTCATCAGGAAACCCGCGAAACGCAAAATCTTTATATAGAAAGCACCCGTGGAAGTCTCAAGAATAAAATCAAATTTATCTTAATTTAATAATCTTGATTGAAGTAAAATAAATTTATTAGGATTCGGAATATATTTTGAATAAACTTGATTATCTATCATAAGTGGTAAGCTTATATGGATATATGAACTTTTGAAATATTTAAAACAAGTAATTATTACTTGTATACAATAAGTATTTTTCTAAGTGTTGACTTTAATATACAAAGTAAATTCATTCAATTGTGAACTTACAAAAATTTATAACACACATCCTGAACAGTATGTTTTATGAATGTTCGCTATTTTCCTGATTAACTATTTAATTACTTTATTTTCCTGATTAAATATTGTCGTTTTCTTGATCAAATATTTAATGACTTTTCTGATAAAATTAAATAAATTACATTCATAATGTGAAAATATCTTGAATCTATAATAAACTAATCTTTCAATAAGTTTTCAATTGTAAAATAATGTTTCCATGTATTTTATGTGCAATTTCTAATCTCAAGTACTTAATTACTTTTCAAATTAGCGATAACGAAAGTCCTTTTTTTAGATTTAATAAAGTAACCTAATTTTAAACAGATTAAATATAAAATAAAATACTTCTATATGTCTATCTACGATATGATCTTAGATCTAATTGTGAGATATATATAATTTCTCTTTCCTTTTTGTTACATATCACATTTTATAGCAATATCATGATTCAATTCGGCATTTAAAGATTAATGTAATTTCCGTGAGTTTACTGATCACAGATATCTCCTTTAGATAATTTCCCGAAGGAGCAACTTCTTTTCCGCCAAGATCGTACAGGTGCCACAGAGCTAAATGAAAATCGAACTCGACGTATGGCATTCCCCGGCATTTCCCGGCGTGAAATTTCTCCGCGGTCGATAGCTATTGTTACATCATTCGCATCCTTTCACAACGTCGCGCCTTATTGCCGATAACAATGGCAGTGAGTACGGAGGGGCTCTGATAGATTTCTTTATTAATTTCGCAAGAGAGATCGAGAAAGTAACACAAAAATATAAATCACTTTGATGCACTCGACAAAATTGATAATCTGCACTGAAAAAAAATATAGTCAATTTTAATAAATGTTTAGTTGAATAATAAATACTGCCAACTAATTATTTATTAAATATAAAGATATATTTATTTTGATGAAAGAAATTAATTTGATTTAACAATTTTTAAATCATTTTTTTTATTGAACAAATATTTACTTACTGTAAGTAAATGTTCAGTTGGCAGTATTGAACTAATGAAATATTTATTAAAATTAACTATATTTTTTCTCAGTATGTTTATTATTATTTTTTTATTTGTATTTATTAGTACTTTTCTGTTTTGAACGACTTCATAAGATGTAGGATATATGTGCCTATTATTATTCATCTTATAAATAAATTCACGATATACATGATATTATGCATTCGATAAAATTGATAATCTGTTTATTATTTTTTTTACTGGTATTTATTAGTACTTTTCTGTTTAGAACTGACTATCCATCTCATAAATAAATTCATGATATACATGATATATATGATATTCATGATTTTACGTACATGAAATATTTTATTACTTGAAATAAGTATGCATTACTGAAGATTCTTTAACGTTGACGTATATTAATGTACATAATCACACATCCGTGTGATAATATTAATTAAAGTTTAAATAACAGGTGCGGTATAAGACCGAGCACAATTATCACAGATCTTCCACACGATGCGATGATAATGCAAGCGGTGTTTATCGTTTCGTGACGAGCGCGGTTCAAAGGCCTCATTTACGATAGCCATACATTTACCGTATTGTTATAGTCAACCGAGACATATACATTCAAATGTACTCGTGGACTTAACGAGTATGGAGATTTTATTTGTAAATCAAAACTTCTCCTCAACAAAAATACTGATAGATAAATAATCTTAATTAGAAGCAAGAATTATTTTAATAAAAGTTCGAGGATTCTTGAAATATTTAATATCAAAACTTGGATCTTAATTTCTTAATAGTCATATTTATATTATAACTACATCACTAGAAAATTATATTAGTTTTAATATCTGACACAGTTGGAATGTTTTATTCAAAAAGAAATGGAAAGAATGATTTTACTGGAGTATCCAAAAACTTAGCTAGATACAGATATAAAGATAATTTTGATAGACTATGAAAATTTTTAGGTAGGACACTCAAACTAATTGCTAGATTGTCAACATTTTTTGATCGATATTTAAAATTTTGAATACTTAGCAACATCTCTCCGTGTAATAGCTAACGCTATTAAAATAAATACATTTTAAATGAAAAAGATGATTGACGTTTACATTAAAAAATTATGTTTCCGAAGTTATTTTCAATAGTCGAATTTTGCTCACACTAAAAAGTTTAAGAAATAAAAATTGAACACTTATATGAAAAATAAAGATACTTTGTATCTACTTAAGAGTATCTCCAGATGATACGGTCAATGTATGTCAGATTGTCAAATATTAAACACATACAGACATATGACATGCATAATTATTCATGAATATAAATCAATTTAGTGAATGTGTGCAAAGTTGGCTTATGCTGGCCAAATCGTCTGGAGGCAGCTTTATGCTGCAGCGCAGCGCTAACATTTGTGGGAAGAGTTCACGCAAAATTCACATACGCGAACTTCATACCGAGCTTTATTCAATTCAGAAAGCTTTCCGATTAGATGAATATGCAATGATTCAATAAATCACGAGCACGTTTTGATTTTATATGTCGTTATTCATTCACGATTGACGTTATTCATGCACGATATTGACTTTATGTACCATTATTCATTCATGGGAATATTGTCTAAAGCTTTTGCTCTTTTATATGTTTTTACAATTTTTGTATAAATATAAATTATAAAGCACTTATAAAGATATTTCTCCATTATTATTGCTATTGTATATTATAATTTTTATAAATTATATTAATTTTATTCACTTTGGATCGATATACGTACATTATATCAGAAGACTAATGAAGACGAACGACTCAAAAATTGAATACGCCTTTTTTTCTCGTTGTAGTTTCTTCAGAATCTGGGCAAGGTTGATCGAACCGCGGACGATATATTCGACGAGCATCTGCAGAACTTCACAAGGCAGCAGAACTCCGCCAACAGACTGCAAAAGGAGTTCAACAATTACATCAGGTGTGTTCGAGGTAAGTCTTCCTGCAAAACTAACTTGTCTTTTCTTTAAATGGCAATCGTTATTTATTTAGACGCACTTATGTTTATCATATGTATTACACACAGTACAAAGATGATATTGTGCGATAAATTAAATGCTTAAGTTTACAGAAATTTAACAGTTAGCTATAGAAAATTTTTTTTATGGAGTCTCGAATGTGTGGTAGTAATTACGGTATGGCACTTAAGCATCTTAACTTTTGAATGATCAAGCGTTTAATTATCTAATCGGCATTTCGAATATATTCGATATTGATTAGAAAGAAATTTATGTAAGCGCTTATTTAACAATATATTCATAGTAATTAGACGAATGTAAAAATTTATATTACGTGGTTAAAATTGCACAGCAGGAAAGCGACGATAGCTATTCATCTAGCGAGTCTTGTTAGCTATTAATATCTTAACTATAACTTCTATATTGTAAAAAGTTGTTTGAAGGTTATTTTTTTCAATTATAAATTCTTTAACCAGCGAATGTTCTTTGCGAATGTCTTATTTTGATATGAATTTAATTATTGTAAAATATATTGAGATTTATATAAAAATTCTTGAATTCCTGAAGAGTTTTCCTAGCAATCTTTTCTTTCTGCCGTAACATCCGTAGTATAAAAAGTAAAATTCTTTGCACATTTATAAAAATAACTTATTCGAATTAACAAATCCGTGCAAAACGTGTCATATATATTAAAAAGAAAAAAAAAGACTTGCATCGCCATGACCTGGTTGCTAAGCTCACGTGGAGGCTGAATTATTTGCTCTGTAATTCCGTACTCTGCCCTCTCTTTTTTGCAGATTGAGATAAATGTGTTTATCGATACGTGTTTAATTCGGCATTGATTTATAGATATGCCTGCAGTTTTACCATATCCTCTTATCTCTTTTTTTCCTCTACGTACATTACGATATAAAAATTATTTAACTATTGACATCAAAATAAATAAAAATTTTGCTCCATATGAGGATGCGATAAAAAGAATACAAATTATTTGGAATCTTAAACGAAATTATGCAATTAAATATAATTTTGTCATGTAATAAATACCGAAAAGATTTGTGCTGCATGGAAAGAATGATTTTTCTGGAATATTTAAAAATTTAGTTTAGGATTATGCGTTTCTACGTAAAATGTAATAATCTACATTTTTATGTATACAGTGTAAACTATGTAAATTATGTCATCTATTTAAATAATCTATTTATCGAAATTTATGTTCTTTGACATTATATTGTACTGCATTTAAGTTTCTATCGCTTGTATATTTTCATTTATATTATATTAAAATCAAAAAAAATTTATATTAATATTAAAATCAGATATATTAATAATAAAGCTTAATTATTTTTGTCTATATTATGTTATCCCATTTATATATTTTACATCGCTCTCTTGTGTTGTCCACATGAAAAAAATTTGTGTAACCTTAACGTAAACAATACGTAATAAAAAAAATTACATGTAAATGTAATCTTGTACGGCATAACCTGATTTATTATAGTTAGGTGCAAATTTGGAAGTAATTTTGTTGGACCATCAAAATAATTCTGTGGAAAACTTAAGCATGATAAGCAATACTACAAAAAGTTTTAACATTCTAACAATCAATTCGAGCATCTTGTGTAACTATTTTGATAGTCTAACAAAATTATTTTAGATCTGTTTTTAGCTTTAGACAGTTTTTAGGTAGTTTTTAGCTTCAGCAAAACCGTTCTTTCCTGTGGAAATCTTTATCGCTCACATGATGGGGAGTTGATTTCTATTAACTTAACAAAGACTGTCATCGACAATCGGGAAAATGATGAAAATGAATTTTCGCTGTCTCTCAATCGACACTTCCATTCGCTATCTCTCGGATGAATGACGGACATGTGAATAACTCGCAGACATTGAATAACGACCAACGCGGCGATCCTGTACAGGCTCGTCGACATCAATTACTGTCGAGAGGAACCAGCGTTATATTTTAATCGTCTGTATATTCGGTAATGTACCGTAGAGGTACATGCGAAATGACCTTTGATAACGCTCTACAGGAAGGAATTACTCTATTACTTCGCGTAATACGCCGCAATCTTTCGTGCTGTTTCAGTAGCGCCGTGTCCGAAATGTTGTGTGTTAATCCATATGGCCTTGTCGCGATTGAATGTTGAATATTTTAGGTAGACAGTAACCCGAGGTACCATCAGCTGCAATCGATAGGGTACAGTCGAAATTGATAAAAACAATTCGTTGGCTTTTCCAATACACACAGAAAAATATTATTCTATTGCTAAGGAAAGTAATTGGTCAATTCATTTTTTTTAAGTTACGATTATTTTTAACAAGGAATAATTTTCCTGATAATAATTCTAAAATATTTATTATAAAAAGAATCCATTATTTTGTCCTTAAAATAAGAATTATTTCCTTTTGAAGAATATTAGAAAATTGATCAAAGAAGCGACTTTATATAATAAACAAATCAAATTTGTCTTAATTTAATAATT